CACCGTGACAGGCACAGCCTGGGGAGCAGCCCGCTGTCACGGGGGTGCCCCGTGGGGTGTCATGGTGATGGCCCTTGGATGGCCCTGCATCGCGGGCGCAAGCTGGTCAGCATCCCAGTGTCACGGGTGCAGTTCCTGCAGTGCCCCGCTGTCACGCGAATGTGCGCACCAGCACAGGTATGGCCCAGGGGGGCCCCTCAGCCAACAGTTATGGCACTTGGGACGCCCCCTCATCATGCTACAGGCCTTGGAGTGCTCAGCCCCATCACGGCTATGAGCGGGGAGCCCTCCACCATCGACCCCAGGGTGAGCTGCTGTGCTCACAGCTGTGGCCAAGGTGCCCCGGCCTCAAGGTGCAACCTGCCGTGGGTAGAGCCGGGGGGTGCCTCACGCCACAGCTATGAGCCGGGGAGCCCCATCACCAGCGTGGCACGTGCAGGGTGCCCTGCCCCGCTGTGTGCTCCTCAGGGTGCCTCACCAACACTCACCTGGGGAGCCCTGCGCCCTGAGCGCACGCGCTTCCCCGTCGCTGTGCAGTGCCCTGTCATAGCAGGTGGAGCCCACTGGGTGTCCTCATGGGTACAGCCCCCAGCGCAAGTGCTCCGTCCCCTCCTCAGGGTGTCGTGTTGTCGGGGCGCTCACTGCGTGTCTCCCCCCACAGTTCTTCCTCACGGAGCGTGACGAGGGCCAGAACCGGGCTGTGGCGTCGCAGCGGCGCCTCGCGGAGCTCAACTCGCGCGTGGTGGTGACAGCGCACAGCGGGGAGCTGTCGGAGAGCTTCCTCGCCTCCTTCCAGGTGAGCCACGCTCGCCTGGGACGAGGGCTCCCTGCCTGCCTGGTGTCCCACAGACTTAGCGGCGTTGCCTCGAGGCTGCTGCAGTGGCCCCTGAAGCCTTGGGACCTGCTCCAGCCCCGAGCTGGGGTGGGAATGGCAGCCGTGACGCCCTTGGTGGTACAGGTTGTGGTACTCACGGACTCCCCGCTGGAGGAACAACTCCGCATCGGTGACTTGTGCCATGCCCGGGGCATCTGCTTCATCGTGGCCGATGTGAAGGGGCTGGCAGGGTAAGTGCGTGATGCCCAGGGTCCCTGTGGCTGGCAGGAACTGGCCCATGGTGGCAGGGGTGCCATCCGTGCCTGGCTGGGGTGGGCAGCCTGTGGGAAACCTTGCACCTAACCCTGCTGAGGCATGAACCATTTTGGGGTGCTCTGGTCTGGGCAACACTGCTGCAGGGCAGGTTGCTCAGGACTGTGTCCAGTGAAGTGTTGAATGTCTCCAAGAATGGCAAATCCACAACCTCCCCAGGACCCTGTTCTGGTGTTTCGCCATCCTCAAAGTGAAGAATTTTGTCCGTGTATCTAATAGATATTTTCCATGTCCCAGCCTGGGATGTCTCCTCTTGTCCTGGCTCTGCAGGTTGGAGAAGATCCTGTCTTGTCCTCTCTGCACTCGCTGCTCCAGCTGGAGTCTGTGTTGAAAAGAGGGACAGGACCCCCACCAGCTACCCATGTTCTTGCTCGTGTAACCCAGGCTACTACGGGCATCTTTGCAGCAGGGACACACTGCTGACTTCTGGTCACCTTGTTGTCTCCCCTAGTCCCTGCTCTGGTTTGCAAAGTTGCTTTCTAGCCCATGACCCTGCGGCCTGTCCTACTGCCGTGGTTATTCCATCCCAGGGGCAGGACTTGGTGGTCTTTCAATTTCATGAGGTTCCTGTTTAACAGACCTGCTGTTGCTCCTATCTCAGGCAGCTATTTTGCGATTTTGGGGAGCACTTTGTTGTTCATGACCCAGCCGACACTGAACCGGTTTGTGCCGTCGTGCAGTACGTCTCCCAGGTAGGAGGTGAACCTCAGCAGACTCCGAAATCCACATCCAAAATCTAGTCCATGACGCATCCCAATGGCCTTCTGTGTCGTTTGTCCATTCGCTGAGGACCCTCTGGCGTCACAGCACTCTCCCAAAATGCTGGCACCTCCTTTAGCTGATTCAAGTTACCAGGATCAGGGTCTGCTGGGCTCATACCCCTTTTTCTCCCCAGGGCAACCCAGGAATCGTGACGTGTGTGGCAGAAGACGGCCGTGGCCACCTTTTCCGTGATGGCGACATGGTGACTTTCTCAGGCCTGGAGGGCATGACGGAGCTGAACGGCCGGCAGCCCTGCCCTGTCCATGTGCTGGGTGAGCACCAAACGGGGCCCAAGCAGCATGGGGTCTCGCCACAGGGGTGCCTGGATCCGAGCCGCAGAGATTCCCATCGCCAGAGCGTGGTGGGATGTTGCTGTGGTCTGCGTGAGTGCTGAAAGAGGGTCCCAGCTGCAGTTTGATGTCCTGGAAAAATACAGTAGATGCTGAACTGTGACTCTTTCTTCACTTGCCTGGGCCTGTCCTTCTCCCTCTCTCACGCCGTTCACAGATGACTTTCACCTGGAGGTTGGTGACACAAGCTCCTTCTCGCCATACCGCTGTGGGGGCCAAGTGAAGCAGGTTCATCTGCCCCAAGAGCATTCGTATGTAAGTCTGCCCGTGACCAGGCTGGGGCTGGATGTGCGAGCCAGGCCCTGCTGGGGAGCCACAGGGCTGTGCCCAAGGTGCTGTGGCAACCTGGTGCTTCCGGAGAGGCGTCTTGTCCTCGAGCACCCGGGATGCTGCCCGCAGAAGTCCCTGCGCGAAGCCCTGGCGGAACCGAAGCTTCAAGTGTCGACTCCCCAAGAGCTGCCACGCAGGCGCAGCCTGCACGTGGCTTTCCAGGCCCTGCACGCCTTCCGCGAGCAGCACGGGCGCCTCCCGCGGCCCCGGGCGCCGGTGAGGCCCCAGCCTACCCTTTTCCAGCCTCCCTCCGCTCTGCCCTTGGCCCTGCCTTCTCCGTGTGCTCATCCCCCCGGCTGGAGGGATCCTGCGCATGGGGCACCTCTTTGCTCCAGGAGGATGCCCAGCGGGTGCTGGAGCTGGCCCGGAGGCTGGCCGAGCAGCACAGGCCCCTGGACGAGGCCCTGGTGCAAGCCTTCGCCAGCGTCAGTGCGGGGGACCTTTGTCCCATGGCGGCCTTCGTCGGGGGCCTGGCAGCCCAGGAGGCCCTGAAGGTGAGCGGGGTGGCATTGGCACCGCGCGGGGACCTGCTCTGGATGCCCGGGGAGCTGGCGCGGCTCGTGCGGCCCTGCGTGGCCACCCCACAGCCGTTGGTGGCCACGAGAGGGCACTTGCTGTCCATATGTTGGCTCTGCCGGCCCGCAGGGAAAGGGTCATCATCTATCCCGGGTGCAGGGAGCCCACTGCGAGGCCGCAGCTTGTGGAGCTGCTGGGACCCTGTTTTGGCCTAGGCCGCCTCTGGGAAATTCCTGCCGTTGGATCAGTGGCTCTACTGCGATGCCTTGGAGTGCCTGGCCATGGAGGGGGCTGCGCGGCTGACGGAGGAGGACTGCGCCCCGGTGAGAGCCGCCTGGCACTGAGCCTGGCCCCGCTGTGCCGAGGAGCTGCCTGGGCCGCTGGGGATGCCGCAGCTGCCCCCGCTCACTGCCGCTCGTCTGCCCCCACAGAGGGGCTCTCGCTACGATGGCCAGATTGCTGTGTTCGGGGCTGACTTCCAGGAGAGACTGGGCCGCCAGAAATACTTTGTGGTAAGTAGGGGAGGTGGATACAGCAGAGTCAACATGTCAGGAGACAGTGACAGCTCTGTCCTGGCAGGTGGGAGCTGGTGCCATCGGCTGCGAACTGCTGAAAAACTTTGCCATGATGGGCTTGGCCGCGGGGGCAGGCGGGGACATCACGGTGACCGACACGGACACCATCGCGCGCTCCAACCTCCACCGGCAGTTCCTCTTCCGCTCGACAGATATATCGGTGAGCCGAGGCCTGGCAGTGGCTGGAGCACCCGGCCCCATGCCCCTTCCCCGGGAGAACCCAGGGGCTTTGGTGTCCGTAGGACCGGGATGGGGGTCCCCAAACAGGCTCTCCCCGGAGAGTGGGGCTGCGGGAACTGCCCGTACCCTCTCTGCGCTCACAGAAGCCAAAGGCAGAGGTAGCAGCTGCAGCTGTGAGGCTCATGAACCCTGACATCAAGGTGACGGCGCACCAGAACCAGGTGGGACCTGCCACGGAGCTCATCTATGGGGCTGACTTTTTCAAGCAGCTAGATGGCGTTGCCAGCGCCCTGGACAACCTGGAGACCCGTGAGTACCTGGGGCAAGCGGGAGCCACATGCAGGATGGTGCCGCTTGGCTGCAGGCGGCATGTGCCACCAGTGGGACACACTCTGCATGGCTTTGGGTGGGCAGCTGGCACATGTAACTGTGGGGAGAGAAGGGGACCCGGTGCTGTCCATCTGGGCCTGGGGTCTCCATCTGGGCCTTGGCTGTCTCCACTTCTTCTAGGCCAAAAAGCCTTTCTGGCACCTGGGCACTCCTTGTTCCTCACAGGTACCTACCTGGAGAGCCGCTGCTGCCGCTCCCTCAGGCCACTGGTGGATTCAGGCACAGAGGGCACACAGGGGAACGTGCTCGTCATGGTGCCCCACCTGACCAGGCTGCTGGGACCTGCCAGTGACCCCGTGGACCCGACCTTCCCCCTCTGCACCCTGCGACACTTCCCCTGGACCACTGAGCACACGCTGCAGGTAGGGCCGCGCTAGCTGGGCGCCGGGGCCGGCCCGCACGGGAGCTGCGGCCCCTGGTGCTGATGGAGGAGGCCCCGGCCTTTGTTTTCCTGCAGGAAGCCTTTCCTCCCAGCTCCAGCCCCGTGCCGGGGAGCCGTGGGCAGGATACGGGCCCCAGCTGCTTCCTGTCTGGAGGCCCAAGCGCAACGTGCGTCCCTGCCCAGCGCTCCCCCCGCCCCGCGCAAACCCGGACACGGCCTCTCCCCGCCTGGCACGGAGCCCGTGGAGCCTTGGCCTGGGCTTCCTGGGGACCACGGGGTGCCGCATGGGCCGTGCATCGTCCCACATGTCAGGGTGGGCAGGGCTTGGGACCGGTTGTCCCCAACCAGGAGTGTCAGGCAGCGTCCCAAACCAGGCGCTCCTGTCTCAGGGGTTGGCAGGCTCTTGCGTGCTGCACCACAGGGCTCATAGGGCTACAGGGTCCCCCAGGATATCCCCTGACTGTCCAAAGTGCCAGCCCCAGTCTCTGCAGCCTGTGTGCAGGGGGGTGCTGGGGTGAGCACTTGTGGCTGGATGTTTAACCCTCGCTTTCCCTTCCGCAGTGGGCACGAGACAAGTTTGAGGGGCTCTTCAGGCTCTCTGCAGAGAATGTCAACCGGTTCCTGGCGTGAGTGTGGGTGTCGGGTGTGAAGGTGCCCAGGCAGGGTAGGGGGCAGAGCTAGGGGACCGTGGCTGCTGTTAGAGCACTGCTCGCTGCTGCTGCATGTGGGGCCGGGGGACAGACTGTTGCGTCCCGTTCAAGGTACCTTGCTGGGTTATTCCAGAGACACTAGTCAGGCCTTGCCCGTCAGCTGGGACAGGATGTTTGTCCCTGCTGGTGAGGGCTCTTTGGGCAGTCAACTCTGCCTGCTGTGAACCGGGGAGAGGCTCTGTGGAGGCCAGGATGAGGACCGGCCCTAGGAACACCCGGTTTCACAGAGACCCGGCCTTCCTGGAGCACCTGGAGGCACCAGAGGCGCTGGAGGTCCTGCAGCGAGTGCGGAAGAGCTTGCAGGAGAGGCCGCGGGACGGGCAGGACTGTGTGCGCTGGGCCCGCCGGCGCTGGCAGAGCTGCTACCATGACACCATCTCCCAGCTGTTGCTCACCGTCCCCCCGGACCACGTGAGCCTGACACCAAGCAGGACTGGGAGCCTCCTGCCCCCTCTGTCCTCTGCCAGCCTCCCCCTCAAGCCTGACTCTGCTTTCCCTGTGCCCAGGAAACCAGCCCTGGCATTGCCTTCTGGTCGGGGAACAGGAGGTGTCCCCATGAGCTGACATTTAACCCTGATGATGTAAGTGCAGGGAAGAGCTGTGCGGGCTGGGGACATGAACCTCACACTCCACGGCGGGCTTGGTGGGCTGGGGGGAAAGATGCAGGTCCTCGATGGGGTAGGAGGGATGCTGGGCCACAGTCACAGGCAGAATGGGAGCATTGTGGGCCAAGCTGACGTGTAGCACCTGCTTTGTGCTCCAGCTCACAGAGCCTGCCTGGGACTTGCAGAGTCCTGGACAGGGTCTGTCCTCGTTACCTTGGTCTGCCAGGGCACTGCGGAAATGCCGAGGAGGTCCTCGGCTCTGTGGCCGGGAGGAGAGACATTTCTCCCCCTCAGGACAAATCTGGGCTGCTCTGCCTGGTTGTAGCAGCATAGGAGCAGGTTCATAGGCTGCACTGGGGAGGTTACCTATGGTCCTCACTGCACTGCTCGTCTCTGCACCCCAGGACTCCCACGTGGCTTATATCATGGCTGCTGCCCGCCTCTTTGCTCAGACGCACAAGGTTTTGGCTCACGGTGACAGCGCGGCTGCGCAGGAGATCCTGCACAACATGGTCCTGCCGCCCTTCACACCTCAGGAGGGACTTCACATCAACATCACGGAGGAGCCGGAGGAGGTCCAGGAGGCTGTGGGTAGGGCCTCGTTAGGGCTTGTTTCCTGGATGCCTGGGTGCCCTGTGGTAAAACTCTGGCCCGGGAAGCCCTGGGACCAACCTGGTTCTAGTGGGGCTCTGGTGCTGCTGCTTCCTGGCCCACGAGCTGCAGGGGCAACGAGGCCCATGCTGGGACAAGAATAACCCCCTGGGGCCCCTTTGTGCCTCCAGACCAAGGGCAGCTGGCAGAGCTCACTCGGGAGCTGGCACAGTGGCGACAGGAGCTGCTGGAGACTGAGGAGACACAAATACCCATCATGGAGCCCATCCACTTCGAGAAGGTACCCAGGGCAGGCGCAGGGCTTGAGGGAGGCGTGTGCCCGGTGCTGGGCACTGTCCCCAGCGCAGAAGCTGCTCTGCAGAGCACAGGGCTTGTCCTGTAACGCTGCCAGTCATTTCCCAGCCAGGAGACCTGGAAGGCAGGGAGCGTTTCTGCATCCTGCCTCATCTCCAGGCTGGGAGCCTGCTGTCCCTGAGCAGCCCACAGGGGCTTTGCTTGGTCTTTGGGGGTCTCTGGTGGCTCAGTTGCTGCGCGGTGCCACTGTCCCTGCACTCCTCACCCTAGGATGACAACTTGCACATAGACTTTGTCACAGCCGCGTCCAACCTGCGCGCAGAGAACTACGGCATCCCCCGTGCCGACTGGCTCACGGTGAGGCATGGGGCAGGGCTCGGCAGGCGGTGCGGCACTGTGTGGGTGCTGCTGGTGATGCCCACTCCTCCCGCAGAGCAAGCGCCTCGTGGGACGAATCGTGCCCGCCATTGCCACCACCACCATGGCCGTGGCCGGCCTGGCTTGCCTGGAGATCTACAAGCTCGTGTGGGGCTGCCAGGACCTCAGCTGCTACCGTAGGAGCAACCTCTTTCTCTCCAGCTCCCTGCTGCTCCGCGCCCAGCCCCTGCCACCCTCCACCTACAAGGTAGGACTCTCTCTCGCCCGCGGTGCGTGCTCATCCTGCAAGGGCTTCTCCTGGGGCACAGGGCTGCCTAGGGCCCGCTGGGTGCCCCGGCTCGTGGCGCTGATGGTGACCAGGACCTCAGCTGCTACCGTAGGAGCAACCTCTTTCTCTCCAGCTCCCTGCTGCTCCGCGCCCAGCCCCTGCCACCCTCCACCTACAAGGTAGGACTCTCTCTCGCCCGCGGTGCGTGCTCATCCTGCAAGGGCTTCTCCTGGGGCACAGGGCTGCCTAGGGCCCGCTGGGTGCCCCGGCTCGTGGCGCTGATGGTGACCGAGTGCCTGGCGTGCAGATCCGGGTGCGAGGACGCCGAGCGGCTGTGTAGGAGGGGTGGCCTGGGCAGCCGGGGCTCCGGAAACAGCGCCCGGGCCTGTG